GGCCCCCCACAAGGTCTGAGGGACAGTGGACCGTCCCCCTGCTGAAAAGTTTGCTGACCCCTGGCAGGTTGGTGAGGCTATCACAAACTGGAAAATGGGAAGGTGGGAGTGCCTCCTGGCCCAGTTTCAAAATGCTGAAAATGTGTTTCCAATAGCTTACAAAAGTCAAAGTAGACTATATGAGGGGGGTGAACAATTCCTATGCCCCACAAATAACCCAGAGATGCATTTTAAATAAAGGAGGACACATTCTACTCATGTAAAAACCACGCTGATTCTCTCAGACCATCCTCAGGCCAGATTCAGAAGGCAATTGGGCCGGATCTGGCCCCCATGGCCTTAGTTTGCCTACCCATGACTTATGCACACACTTTTTCCAGATTTCTAAGCTGTGCAATACGAAACCAGGTTACATGGCCACTGTTTTTGACTTGAGCTTCACATTCCCATCTTTGCTAAAATAACCATCGTTCGTTACGCCAGTCCTTGTCAGCCTTTGCTGCACTTTCTCACAGCTGCTGAGATCTATCCTAAATGAAAGGCAGGATATTTATTTCTCTCTCACCCAAAGGGAAACTTCATTGCCAGCGGAAACACCCCAACCTTCTCCAGACTAGCAGACTACTTACAGCACCCCTATTTCTGCTGAAGGCTTTTGACATGTTACCTTCAGATTGTGGGAAAATTATTTAAGGTCGGTGACAGTGCTGAAGGGAAGCACTGCCTGCAATCGCTTGTAGACGCTTATTACTTTGTGTGTTTGTGGGTTAGTGGTTTTTCATTAGGGAACTATCATCGCTTTTTGGTGTACTACCAATATTTTAAATGGGGTCCTAGGATATGACAGTATGCTCAGGCCCTCATCCAGGCTTCCTTTGTGCCACATTCCTAGGCACAGGTCTGGGAATTAAAGCCCTGTGTGTGAGTGATTTGTTTTGTTTTCTGTCTCAGCCCCTTTTCCGAGAGAAAGTTTGCATTTTATTGCTAAATCACAGCAAATGGCAGCTGAGTTTTCTGCAGATTGCCATTGCTCCAATTCAGCAGTAAAATGTGGTTTTCCCAGAGAGAGCACCGGGACCAAAAAAACCCCCACATGTTTGGGACATGGGGCTTTAAAATCCAGGACCTGTGCGTGGAAATCATGGTGCTACAGGAAATCTTGATGAGCCTTATGTGGCAAAGTATCTGCATCACATGCAAGGTCCCAGGTTCAGTCCTCTGTAGATAGGTCCAGTATACCTGAAGGAGCGTCTCCACCCCCATTGTTCTGCCCGGACACTGAGGTCCAGCGCTGAGGGCCTTCTGGCGGTTCCCTCACTGTGAGAAGCCAAGTTACAGGAACAAGGCAGAGGGCCTTCTTGGTAGTGGCACCCTCCCTGTGGAACGCCCTCCCACCAGATGTCAAAGAGAACAACAACTACCAGACTTTTAGAAGACATCTGAAGGCAGCCTTGCTTAGGGAAGCTTTTAAAGTTTAATAGACTATTGTATTTTAATCTTTTGTTGGAAGCCGCCCAGAGTGGCTAGGGAAACCCAGCCAGATGGGCAGGGTACAAATAAATAAATAAATAAATAAATAAATAAATAAATAAATAAATAAATAAATAAATAAATATTATCATCATCATCATCATTGGGCTGGGAATCTCCCCTGCCTGAAACCTTGGAGAGGTGCTGCCAGTCAGTGTAGACGATACTAAGCTAGATGTGCTGATGCTCTGACTCAATAGAAGACAGCTTTTGATGTTCCCAAGCGTTCCTTTATGTTGAATGACACAAACGGTCCTTACAGTTCAGTCCTCTGACTGGCAGCACCCCTCCAAAGTCAGCAGTCTTCCCCATCCTGGCTACTCAAGGCTCTCCAACTGCAAGTGGAAAGCGCTTGACAAGAAGGTGCATGCACACTGCCCCTAGGCTAATTTGCCACAGGCCTCCTTGATCTCTCTGGATCTCTTAGGAGCAAACTACACATGACATTGTGCAGACTTTTTTTTAAAAAAAAGTGTGTCCTTAAACTGGACAGTTTTACTTCTAAGAAAAAAGAAGCTGTGGAACTCTGATCTGAAACATGCTCCAAATCCAGTGTGATGGCCTGGGATTCGAACTCAGATGCTGAACCTGAGGAATCCCAGCCTGTACAGGATTCCCCACCTCCAGAACCAGCTGAGCCGGGGCTGGGGCCTGAGCCTGAAGGGTCCTCACCTGTGCCGGATCCTCAGGTGCAGGCACCAGCTGAGTCTGCTCTGGCTCCTGAGGTGATGGAGGACCCATTGCCTGCAGGTGCTCCCCTCTCAGCCCTGTCAGGGGAAGCTGAGGTTGCCTCTGGGTCCGGTAACCCTCCAGCCTCTCCTGAGCTGCAGAGGCTCCAGGGCAGAGAGGCGGAGGGAACTAAGTTCCTGCAGGAGGAGTGCTCGCCTCCAGGCCAGGAGAGGCAAGTCGCCAGAAGATCAGGGCCACCCTGTGCCTCGGGGCAGATAAAAGCCAGCCAGCCCAGTCCCAAGTTGCGGGAGCAACATTGTTGGTAGCCAGTTCCTGCCTGAACCCTGTCCTGCCTTTCCTGCTGGAGCTCCTCACCTCATCTGACTCCCTGCCCTGCACCCAGCTTCAGCTTTGACGGACTGCCTCCATATTGCACCTTCGACCCTCGGGACTGGACTCGGACCTCGCCACTTGGTTAACCCCCGGGACCAGCACATCCAGACTGGGTCCCTCAAGCAGTTCCTGCTGAAAATCCACAGCCATGAATTTGAAACACCAGATTTCCACCCCCCAAAAAATCCTGGGAACCGTAGATTGTTAAGGGTTCTGGGAATTATAGCCCTGTGAGAGATGAAAACTATAGTTCCCATTATTCTTTTGGGTGCATGTTGTGGACGTGACCAGAGGACACACTGTCCTTGTCAGAGGACCCTAGAGGATCTAGATGTGTTTTCTGAGGTGAAGCATAAGAGAGCTGAGGCCTCCTGTACTGTTTTTCAGCTCAGCTGAGTGCACTCAGTGAGGGGACGGCTTCAAGTGCTGCTGCTCTTTGAGGCTGTGTTTGTGCCCGGGGACACCTGTTGCCATGGAAGGCGAGGGAGGCCCTGCGGCTCGTGGCTCACAAGCTGCCAAACAGCTGCCAGACCATTGCAGCCCTTCTGTCACTGCCTGCCCAATACCTGATGGACATCAACAGGCTGGATTTAAGTATCGGGCATTTGCTTGCCAGCTCTCAAGAGAAACAAACCCACAGCGACTGTATGCCTTGATCCTTCAGCACCCTAATGCTTTAATCTTTGCAGATGAGCAGTAAAACCACTTCACTGCTGGAACTTCCCATTGATAGACGTACTGTGTCCGAAGGCCTTATTAAGCCATGCCTGCCTCTCAATTCTAAGGTGGCTTTAGAAGGCAATGGAGTTAAGACCTGCCAAGGAAGCTGGAAAATATATTCATGTATGCAACAACAGCGGCAAGAGTCTTAATAGCACAAGGATGAAAGAATGAGGAAATCCCGACTACAGAACTATGGCAAGAGAAACTGATAGACTACGCAGAATTGGCAAAATTGACACATAAACTACAGGACAAGGATAACTGTGACTTTAAAGATGAATGGGAACCTTTTACAAAGCACTTAAAGAAACAACAAAGTGAACTGGACTCCTTGGCAGGTTTTGAATAAACACTCACAAACTTTTTACTGACAATAACCAGTCAGATAAAATTAAGGATCTATACAGTTTTGTAACATGCAGAGAATAGCATTTGTAGAGAAACCAGAGATTGGAGGTGAGGGAAGTCGGGGGGGGGGTTACTTTTGGGGGGGGGATTCAAGGATGATATGTTTTAAGATAATATGTTTTGTTTAAACTCTGAATAATTTTTTTCTTTAAAAAAGAAGAAGGCAATGGACTTGTTCATCAGAATCTCAGGCTTGAGAAGGCCAGGAGTCAATCTTTTTCCACCACTTATGAGGCAGGACCATTCATTCACCAGACCAACCCAATCAACCTGGACAGTCCAGAAACTGAAAACACATACGCTTTGATAAGGGCTGTAGCTCAGTGGTAGATCATCTGCCTTGCATGCAGAAGGTCCCAGCTTCAATCACCAGCATCTCCAGGTAGGACCAGGGAAGATTCCCTGCCCAAAACCCTAGAGAGCCACTGCCAGTCAGTGTAGACAATACTGAGCTAAGGGGACAAGTGGACTGACTCAGTATTAAGTAGCTTCCTATACTTGTGCTAGGGGACAAGGGTGGCGCTGTGGGTTAAACCACAGAGTCTAGGACTTGCCGATCAGAAGGTCAGCAGTTCAAATCCCGCGACGGTGTGAGCTCCCGTTGCTCGGTCCCTGCTCCTGCCAACCTAGCAGTTCGAAAGCACGTCAAAGTGCAAGTAGATACATAGGTACCACTCTGGCAGAAAGCTAAACAGCGTTTCCGTGCGCTGCTCTGGTTCGCCAGAAGCGGCTTAGTCATGCTGGCCACATGACCCGGAAGCTGTACGCCGGCTCCCTCAGCCAGTAAAGTGAGATGAGCACCGCAACCCCAGAGTCGGCCACGACTGGACCTAATGGTCAGGGGTCCCTTTACTTTACCTTTATACTTCTGCTACAGAAAGTGCTAAAGAACAAATAGCTCCAGGTGGCTCTGGAAAGAAAGCCAACTATGAACTGAAAGGTAAGGCAAAAATCCCAGGTTTGGGACCAGTCTGACTTCAGAAGCAAACCAAGTGGTTGCTGTGGTGAAGAAGGACCCGTGAGAAAGCATGTGACCCTAGAACAGGCTTCCTCAACCTTAGCCCTCCAGATGTTTTGAGACTACAAATCCCATCATCCCTGACCACGGGTCCTGCTAGCTAGGGATCATGGGAGTTGTAGGCCAAAAACATCTGGAGGGCCGAGGTTGAGGAAGCCTGGCCTAGAACCTTCTGCAACATTACCAGGGATTCTGGGGTGAAAATTTGGGGTTGCTTGGGGCAGCCAAATGTACCATAACTTAGTATCAGAGCAGAAGCTTCACATGCAGAGGATCCCACATTCTCTGGCATCTCCAGTTAAAATTGTGATGGGAAAGAATCTCTGCTGAGATCCTGGAAGGGTCCTAACAGACAGTGCAGACAAAAGTGAACTACATGAACAAATAGTGCCTTGGCAAATCTGAAAACATAAGAAGAGCCAAACCCACAAGCAGGAGCCATGCACAAGAGCAACTCTCCTCTCCTGCAGTTTCCAGCAACTGGTATTCGATAGCATTCCTGCCTAAATCTGGCAGTGAATCAGGCTTGGTCCATACTGCAGCAATAAAAAGGTAAAGGGACCCCTGACCATTAGGTCCAGTCGTGGCCGACTCTGGGGTTGCGGCGCTCATCTTGCTTTATTGGCCCAGGGAGCTGGCATACACCTTCCGGGTCATGTGGCCAGCAGGACTAAGCCACTTCGGGCAAACCAGAGCAGCGCACGGAAACGCCGTTTACCTTCCCGCCAGAGTGGTACCTATTTATCTACTTGCACTTTGTCGTGCTTTCGAATGGCTAGGTTGGCAGGAGTTGGGACCGAGCGACGGGAGCTCACCCCAATTTACCCCAAATGGAACTGGGATGAGAGAAGATGGCGTCTGCCAGCAGCGAAATGACTTTTGGATGGATTCGGCATAAACACCAGCATGTGAGGAGATACTGCAACAACAGCGGAGAGTCATACACATAAAATCCACACAGAAACACGTCATTGCTTATTTCAACTCACTTGTGGAAACAACTCAGAGGCCATGAAAGAAGGAAGGTTAACAACAGGAAGATTTAAAGGAACTATTGGAAAAACTATTCAAAGCAGCAGAGATATAAGATGATCAGAGCCCCCGCCCCTGAACTTGAAGCATGGGAAGTCCCAACAAAAAATTTATAATTTTGGCAGAATATTTGGACTATTTGATATGTACTTGTATAATTTGGAACATTCAATGTGATTTGATTGGATTGTTAAAATGGGAAACTTAATAAAAATGATTTAAAAACAAAACAACAACTACAAATGGAACTGGGACATGCCATTAGCTCAAACCATTGTGAAACACAGCTACTCACCTTTGACTGTGACCAGCACAGAGCTGTAGGTTTGCCCTGCCAGGTTGGAAGCCGTGCATGTGTAGAGGCCGTTGTCAACCTGCTTGCAGAAGAGGATCTTCAGCACAAAGTTCTCCTGCTCATCCTCGTAGATGATGTGCCTCCGGCCTTCGAGGATGACCTCGCCGTCCTTCTTCCAAACAATCTCTGGCTTGGGTTCTCCCGTCACGTAGCAGCTCATCTTGGCATGTTTCCCTTCTGTGACGGTGAAAGTACGTGTCGTCACCCCGTAGTAAGAACCACCATCGCCCCGGAAGCTCTTTGCCGTCAAACTGGCGGCCCTCTCGTAGTCAAGGGAGAGGCTCAGGCCGAGTTTCGACCGCCCTTCCATGGAGGTGTATGCCGTGGAGATGAGAGAGTCGGCACTGGTTAAGTCTGTCTTTCTGATTTCTTCTCGCCTTTTTTGCAAGTGTGAGAGCAGAGGGGAGGTCTTGCTGCTGTCTGTGTCTATAGCGTGCCTCGTGCCACCTGGGCTGTAAGAATCTGGCGTGTCCACCACCAATGCAGCTGCTGCGCTGGTGGCCCCAAGAGGGTTCTCTGCACGGCAAGTGTACGTCCCGCTGTCCACCAACCGAGTGCTTTGGATCTTGAGGGCATTTTTCTCCCCCTGGGTCTCAATCTGGATGCGGTTGGACTCTGACCGACCGCCCAGGTGCCTCCCGTCTTTCTCCCAGTTCACCGAAAGGGGTGGGCTACCCTGGACAATGCATTTGAACATGGCGTCTTCTCCCATGATGACTCGGATAGAAGTGGGCTTCTGGATGAAATAAGGTGCCGATTCAGTCACAGTGGTCTGCTCCCCAACTTTGATGCTAACTGCGGCAAAAGCTTCCCCAATCGAGTTCTTGGCCCTGCAGATATATTGACCGCTGTCGTCCAGACTCAAGTCATAAATGGTTAAACGATATAGGTCGCCGTCTTCCACCATTTTAAATCTTCCCCCTGTCTGGATAGGAAGTTTATCCTTCTCCCAGCTGACCAGCGGGATGGGATTTCCAATGATCTGGCAACTGAGTGTGGCATCTTTCCCCATGGATACCACAAAGGCCTTAGGCCTGGTCAGGAACCTGGGGACTCCACTGTAAGAGCTGAAATCCATCTTGATGGCCTGGAAAGAAAGAAAAAAAGGGGGGAAGCAACTGTAAGAGCAATGCCAGGTCTTTTTTTTAACCCTCCATAGAATTAAAGTATCTCACAGCAGCCACAAAAGCCTGAATTTCTGGACCATAATGTTTCCACCTTTGAAGAACGCAGCGTCTGAGCTTCAAGTTGGTCTCTCATTACAGTGGTACCTCAGGTTACATATGCTTCAGGTTACATACGTTTCAGGTTACAGACTCCAGTAACCCAAAAATAGTGCTTCAGGTTAAGAACTTTGCTTCAGGATGAGAACAGAAATCGTGCGGCGGTGACGCGGCAGCAGCAGGAGGCCCCATTAGCTAAAGTGGTGCTTCAGGTTAAGAACAAACCTCCGGAACGAATTACGGTAAGTACTTAACCCAAGGTACCACTGTACAGAGAATCCTCACCTGATTGCTTCAGGCAGTTAAGCCTGAACACACTCAAAGCCAATCTGTCAAGAATCTGAGCAGAATTACAAAACTTCATTCACTTGCGGAGGATATACATATATACATATACATATACATATACATATACATTCATACCTCATGTTACGTTTGCTTCAGGTTGTGTGTTTTCAGGTTGTGTCCTGCGGCAACCCAGAAGTAACGGAACGGGTTACTTCTGAGTTTTGCCTCTTGCGCATGCGCAGACGCACAAAATGACATCACGTGCATGCGCAGAAGCTGCTAATCGCGACCCACACATGCGCAGACGCACAGGCGCGGGTTGCGTTCTTTTCAGGTTGTGAACGGGCCTCCAGAACAGATCCCATTCGCAACCAGAGGTACCACTGTACAGTTGGATGCTAAAACATTCACCACCTGCAAGCTAATGACCATTTCACCACAACTGGAAATAGGAAACATTCATCAATCTCATATAAGGTATACCTGAAGGAGCATTTCCACCCCCAGTGTTCAGCTCCAAGGGCGTTCTGGTGGTTCCCTCACTGCGAGAAGTGAAGTTACAGTGAACTTGGCAGAGGGTCTCCTTGGCACCCACCCTGTGGGGAATGCCCTCCTCCCATCAGATGTCAAAGAGATAAGCAATTATATGACTTTCCAAAGACATCTGAAGAAAGCTCTGTCGGGAAGTTTTTAATGTCTGATGTTTCATGATGTTTTTTATATTCTGTTGGAAGCTGCCCAGAGTGGCTGGGGCAACCCAGGCAGATGGGCAAGGTATAAGCAATAAATTATAATAATATTATTATTAAGCAAGTGGGGGCATGCTCTGGATTTCTTTTTGGGTAAATCATTTTTTAAATAACTTTTTGTTAATACAGTTGGAAATTGACCACTGAAATGAAAATTGCAGGATAAGACATTGCAAGGCCAGCATACGTTATGATGACCAGTTCATTTCGTTGTCCCCGAGAGGGGGCAATGACAATAAAGATATTATTATTATTATTATTATTATTATTATTATTATTATTATTATTATTATATGACCAGTCCAGAGGCTGCCCAGACAAGATTGGCTCAAGTGTTGCCTACAGACCATCAGCTGGCGATCTCTTAAAGTAGGGTAGGCAGTAGGGTGTCCTCCAACTAATCCAGAATGCGGCAGCTAGACTGGGGACTGGGGATGGCCGCCGAGACCACATAACACCAGTCTTGAAAGACCTACATTGGCTCCCAGTACATTTCCGAGCACAATTCAAAGTGTTGGTGTTGACCTTTAAAGCCCTAAACGGCCTCGGCCCAGTATACCTGAAGGAGCGTCTCCACCTCCATCGTTCTGCCCGGACGCTGAGGTCCAGCGCCGAGGGCCTTCTGGCGGTTCCCTCATTGCGAGATGCAAAGCTGCAGGGAACCAGGCAGAGGGCCTTCTCGGTAGTGGCACCCGCCCTGTGGAACGCCCTCCCATCAGATGTCAAAGAGATAAACAACTACCTGACATTCAGAAGACATCTTAATACCTGACATTAAGACGACATCTTAAGGCAGCCCTGTTCAGGGAAGTTTTTAATGTATGACATATTAGCGTATTTTTGGTCTTTGTGGAAGCCGCCCAGAGTGGCTGGGGAAACCGAGCCAGATGGGCGGGGTACAAATAATAAATTATTATTATTATTCTATTATTCCAAGTGCTGTGGACTATAACTCATCCCTGACCACTGGCCATGCTGACAGGGGCTAGAAATGGGAGAGAATTTTGGTTCAGTTCACTTTCTAATATGAACACCCCAAATTCATACTTCTTGAAACTTCTTGAACCAAAATGCAGCTCTTCTTTGGAATTCACATCTCTGAATTTTGTAGCACACTTCTCTGACCAAATGATGTGCACAACAATGTGGGAGTGTGCCTGCTTGTGAAAATAACATACAGAAATGCATTACACTAGGGGAAACTGCATACAAAAATGTGTCTATATTAGGCAAAATTTGAACTAAAATGTTGGTGAATATTCATGAGGAATTCTAAAAAAATTCAAATTGATGCAGAAATAAATAATAATAAAATAAATAATAATAATAATAATAATAATAATAATAATAATAATAATAATATTTATACCCCGCCCATCTGGCTGAGTTTCCCCAGCCACTCTGGGCAGCTTCCAATCAAGTGTTAAAAACAATACAGCATTAAATATTAAAAACTTCCCTAAACAGGGCTGCCTTCAGATGTCTTTAAAAAGAAGATAGCTGCTTATATCCTTCACATCTGAAGGGAGGGCGTTCCACAGGGCGGGCGCCACTACCAAAAAGGCCCTACCGAGAAATGGGATGAACTTAAGAATAGAAAAATTAGAAACTCAGAAACTGCCAAAATCTGCCCATCCCTAGCTGAGGCTGATGGGAGTTATAGTACAAAACATCCAGTGGGCACCACAGTGCTTTATATATTCAGCTCTTTGTATTTTCCCAACCAAGTCCACTAAAACTGCAGTGTGAAGCCTCATCCCCACACTGAAAAACCACAAGCACAAACACCACTTGTATGCACATCTCTCAAAAAGACTGAGACAAGTCATCATACCACCAAAAATAGACTATAAAGCAAGTACATACCCCAAAAGTCTGACTAACCCTCCCAAATTAGGAGTTTGCACTGAGTTAATCAACTCAGTGGGAAACTGATATCATTGGGTCCAAATATGTGTCTCTGATGATGTTACTGAAAATCCATTCATCATTTCAACCCAGTTATATCAGTTCATGAATCACAATGTGAAATGATGCCTTTATTTAGACTATCTGGTGCTGGAGATATAAAACCCAGCTACTAGCTTTTTGTATCTCCATAAGATGGTTAAATTCTTAGCAACTGAAAAACGTAAGAGGACCCCTACTGGATCAGGCCATAAGTCCACCTAGTTCAGCATGGTGTTTCCCACAGTGGCCAAAACCTCACAAGCAAGACATGAGAATCGTGATCCTCTCTTTTGGGTCCTAGGACCCTCGTACCTACAGGACCGCCTCTCCTGGTATGTCCCATGGAGGACCTTACGGTCTTCAAACAAAAACACCTTGGAGGTCCCAGGCCACAGAGAGGTTAGGCTGGCCTCAACCAGAGCCAGGGCTTTTTCGGCTGTGGCCCCGATCTGATGGAACGCTCTGTCACAAGAGACTAGGGCCCTGCGGGACTTGACATCTTTCCGCAGGGCCTGCAAGACAGAGCTGTTCCACCTGGCCTTTGGCCAAGGCACAGCCTGACCCCCTCCTTTGGTAATCCTCACAGAACTCTAGTGCAATGGTTGCCATTAATTTGATTTTGAATTGATTTTAGAATGAATTGATTTTAGAATGCTGTGTTAGTTTTATTGTTGTTAGCCGCTCTGAGCCCGGCTTCGGCTGGGGAGGGCGGAATATAAATAAAAAAATTTTGTTGTTGTTGTTGTTATTATTATTATTATTATTATTATTATTATTTCTGGTATCCCCCAGCAACTGGTGCTCAGAGGCATACTTTTCCTGAAGCTGGAGTTTGAATATAGCCATCATATATTAGTTACCATGCCATGTTCAAGATTCTTGTATTAATTTGTATGTTCCTTAACAGCTCAGGTCTAGGACACCCCCATATCCCTGCCTGATCACTGGGTGGTTATCAGCAGCTCCTAGTGATGATTTGTTTATTTTAAAATATTTTAAAATAAGCAAATCACCACTAGAAGCCCCTGAGAGTACCTGGATTAGAAAAGCCAACTAAGGGCTCACCCTTTTGTTGCCATGTTTCTAGGAACAGGCCTGGACTTTAAAACACCATGTCCAAGCGTGGTTTTGTAATAGCAGCTGTTTGTTTGTCTTTTTTGTTCTGGTGCTTTAGTAGTGAGGCATCTAATCATAAGCCTGCATTTTATTAATGTTTGATCAGGTTCCTAAATTAAATGGGCTTAGATTTTCAAATGTTTCATGCCAGCTGCTTAGAGAACCTTGGCAATGTTTTCCTCCTAGACAAGGGGCCCCTTGATTTATAGCAGAAAACAATTCTCAAAGTCGTAAAAGGGGGAATTACAGGCTGAGAGTGAGGACACTGACCCTACATGTTACAGAAGATAAAAAAGGCAGAGATAAACATAATTAGGAATGAGTAAATAGTAAAATAATACCAATGTGCCTCCCAGTAAAATGAGCCAGATCTTCTTTCTAAGGTTAAAAGGCCAAGAGCAATGGAGAAGCATCTAGCTGGCAGAAAGAGAGCATTTTTGGGAAGTCTTTTTTTAAAAGCTGTTTCTTTCTTAAACTGAGAGAGTTGAAGGGCAATAAATGTTGGGAAGAGCTAATGGGAAAAGCAGCTGGCTGAGGGGGGGTGTAAACTGAAGAGGCTTCTTTTGAAGCTGTTTTTTACTGAGTTCCTTTTTCTACTTTACAAAGGCCTTATTCCTTTTAAGAGGCTACCTGTGTTGTGTATTAAGTGTATTGGCATAGATGTAATTATGCAAAGGATTTAAGAAATGCTAGATTCTTATTTCATATAGTTGTAAGAGTTGTATTTATCCTGAAATTAAGTCAGCCACCAGCCTAGCCCC